TATTACCTTCAAGATTAAATTCACAATTTCCCTCTAATCCTCTCATCTTTGGACATGTTTCTGAAATTCATTAGTAATTACTACATTATTGAATTAACTCTATTCACCTAGCACCAGTTGACTTCCAACAAACTTCCCTAATATTACATGTTGTATGAGTTTTATTTGAAGATTCAACCTCAATACAATAATAGTATCTACATACTTTTTCTCCCTTAAGTTTATTATATTTATATTATTAAAATAAGCACCATTTTTGAGAATCGACACTCTAGAATAAATTTACTTACAAAACAATAATTACATTTTAGACCTTTTTTATCAAAACCAATTTTAATTATAATATCATTTACAATTTCTATTACTCTATAGTAATCTAGTTGTATCCTTACACAATCCATTTACTTATATTCCATTCAAAAATAAGACAAACCACTTTATATCAATTGAAAATTTAGCAAATTTAAATCATCTTTTCTCATTGCTAAATATCAATATTCCTTAGTAATTCCAAATAATTTATTCATGATATCATTATTAATAGCCCAATTCTCCTTCAAGACAAAGATCTTTGAAATACAGACACTCTTTATTCTAATTTGACAATATTCTAATTACTATAAAAATATAGAGGATTGTCTATATTTTAACTTTTTAGGATGAATTCACCTTATTAAATGATAGCCTGTTTAGAATTGCCAAAATGTTAGCATTTATGAGGACATTAAAATAAATATATAATAAAAGATATATTTAAATAGATTAGTGCACTAAATAATATGCATATATATTAAATTATATCAATATCTTACCCTAAAATGATTGGTGCTTTTAGATATTGTGTATATACTTGCTCTCTCCAAATAAGGCTTAATAAAAAATGAATCCTATGCTCTATAAATCAGTTTTAGAGTTATACTGTTTTTGATCAACAATTTGATGACTCATGTAAAGTGGAGTTTTTAGCAAAGACAAAATTAGCCAGGTTATAGGTCTAGGTTATGTAAGATTTTTATGAATAATACCATTTTTATAAGTTATGTGAAACCATTTAGAACATCGACTAAGAATTTGATTACATCTTTTTCGGAAAGTATTATAAAAAGGGTTGGAATTGAGTTATAATTTTATTTTCTTCAAAAGTCTGAAATGTATTTAATATATATCTACTCATCAAAATTACCTCCATCACAGTATTCTTAAATAATATAATAATTATTGTTCATTTTCATGACATCCAAAAAAGTAGCAATATATGAACTCTTTAATTTTTACATAATCTTAATTTCTTGAATAAGTCCTTCCCTTAAATAACCATCTCTAAATTAATGAAAGAAATAATTGTTTCTAATCTATTACTGATTTCAACATCTTTATAACTACCTTCTCACTAGATTTTTTCAAATAATTCCTCGATAAACTTAAACATAAGATCTTGGCCCAATTCTATCCTATACATTATAAGTATATCGGTCATCAAAATTAATTTATTTTTCATTTAATAGAATAAAATGTCATGTATATCCTAATGTTCTAAAAAATGTCATCTTGCACCTTTTCCTCTTCTCAGTGTGGCTAACATAAGAGGTAACATGAGATCCTAGGAAACCAGCAGCTCTGCCAAATTTTTTTAAGGCTTCTCTCACCTTTGGACGTCTCAATGAAATAGTACCAGTTCCTATAAATGTTAGGTATACTTGTTGGATATGTTTGTTCAAAGGAATCTGATAGAAAAGACATTTAATTTTGGTACAATAGCACTATACTACATAAATTTAATGATTACTCATCTAGTTTATCTCAGGCTGTATTTACAAGTCTGCTGAGACTATTTGGGTACTTTGCAGTTCTTGTTGATTAGAGTCTTCTCAAAATAGTAACATTGAATTGAGAGTCTGTTCTTCTTGCTAAGAATTTGTATAACTAGGCGATCAATCTAATGCTTTACCTTTATTAATAATTTCAAATAAAGGTTTGTAGAAGTCACTTTTCTTCCTACTTTCCTTTACACTCTAGTCTTTTTGTAAGCATCTACTCCCTATTATATATTTAGACTTGTTTTGTTACCATTTTTCAAATTTTTATATCTTTATTTAATTTATGGTATATGAATTCAATAAATACTTTTCATCAACCCATTTATAATATTAAATTGTACATTTAAAATACTCATTTTTTTTCTTTTTTACCTTTGGGAGGTTTATGTGCCTCTTTTATTTTATCCTCTTTTTTATCTTCCTTTTTCTAATCCTTTTTATCTTCCTTTGGTGCAGTTAAACAACTTCCAACACCACAACTTCCTTTATTCTTTCTTCTTTTTCCAACCAAAAATAATGCACCTATAATTCCTACATTAAAAATTATGTTAAGATATTCAACTTAAGCATTCCTATAATTAAAAATGGAGAATTACACATTGTTTAAATATATGATAGGATTATGTGCAAATACTGTAATGATAACACTTAATAAAGCCAATAAGCATCCTGCTCCTTGCATACCAATAACAACCCCTAATCCTAAAATTATTTAAGCAGCTCCTATTGTTTGAATTAAACATGGAGTATGTTTAATGAAGTTTGTTGGTTTCTAAAATCAAGTATATAATACTAAAATTTCTGTAC